TCAGCTGTCTCTGCACCTCTGGGACACCCCCTGCACTCCCCCTGTCTCCCAGGTGTACATCTGGGACACCCTGTCCCTTCCACCCCCCACCCCAGCTGTGTCTGTGCCCCAGGGATACCCTATCCTGTCCCCCTCTCCCAGGATATCTCTGCACCCCTGGGATGCCCTGTCCCTTTCCCCCCTTTGACTGTCTCTGCCCTTCCTGGCCACCCTGTCTCTTTCCCCCTGCCCCATATCAGCTGTCTCTGCACCTCCACAACACCCCATCCCTCCCCCACCCCGGCTGTCTGTCTCTGCACCTCTGCCACCTGTCACCAGAGCCCCTTGGGTGTCCATCTGCTCCGTGTCCTCGCTCCTGGAGCTGGCATCTCTAGGCATGTTGGAGCATTGCCACTGCCACCAGGCACTGGGCTTGGTGATGCTTCCCTTTTCAGACCGTCTGCCTCCTCATGGCCAAAAAGCCCCCTGGTGGCCTGAGGAAGCCTCTTTTGTGACTCCAAGCCTTTCCCCACACAGCCTCCATGGGAGCCCTCTGACGGACGCTGGCTTGGCCCTTCTTAACCCAGCACTCTCCATCCATCCCTCGCTGGTGGCTCTGGACTTGGGAGACTGCATGCTGGGCGACGAGGGCATCAACCTCATCTGTGGACTCCTGCCCCCTGACGGGGCCAAGTCAGGTAAGGAGAAGGGGCTGCAGGGCCTGCCATGTCCAGTGTAACCCATAGGTAATGCAAGTCACCCTGCTCGGAGCCAGGCTGTTGTTCCTTCCCTCCCACACTCTCGGGGAGCAGGTTATGTTTCTCTCTCTAGTGAGTTTCCTCCGTCCCTCAGGCATAATTGGGGTTGAACAGCCCCTTGGTAGAGAAGCTGCTCCCACCGGGTGAAGGTCCTGCATTCTCCTATGTCATTCTGTGGAGCCTGGAGTTTGTCCAGTAGACCACAGATTGTGGCATGGTGGATGGGGAGGCCAGTTGGTTTTGCCTCATGATGGGATAGTTTGTTTGGGGAGACAGGGCTTGCAGTTAAGATTTGTATTGCACTCATGCCATCTGGGCTGCGATCAGTGCATTGACAATGAATGCCAGTGCATCTGCAGTGCTTGCCTCGGCCCTTGACCCAGAACTGGGAGGCACAGCATATGGTCTCTGTGAGAAATGATCAGCAAAGGATCTTGCCCGGGGGTTTTACTGTCTCCTGGCTGAATACACTCCAAGGCCCCCATCCTTGCGAGTGATGTCTGAGGCCAGTGGGCTTTTTAATCAGGATATGGCTCTCATTGAGTTGGCAGAGAGTGCCCTCTAGTGAACTGTGGTCTCCGCTGTCTCACCCTGGCACCTGGAATGGCTGCTGATCATCTATACGCTTAGGATATGCACGACTGCCACCACCACACCTTGCTCCACAACTTGTCCTCTTCTGAACACAGGCATCAGTGCTTACCTTCCCCTCTCCCCTCTCTCTCACCTGTGGCCCCCCTTAACCCCAGGCCTCAGGACCTGCTTTCTCCGCTCTCCCTTGTCCGTATTGTCAATTGCCTCCACTTAGTGAGACCTACTCCTGTTTTGATTCTATCATATTTGCTGTTTGGGATAAGCAGATGCCAGGTTGAAGGTAGCATGTGGTCAGGCAGCCATGTTTGTTGTGGGCAAGTTAAGGGACTGGGCTGCAGATGGTGTTTAAGCAGATAAATGGCTGTAGTTATTATGCAAATCACATCCCTTAGCCAATCAAAATGCAGTGGATTGCATAATTTGGAACCCTGCCATTTCCCTGCTCTCTGATAGGCTGGCCTGGTTTCTCTCCAGGAGGTTTGGTTGAGCTGCCTGGCCCCTTAAGGTGTTACCTGGCTTCTCTCTTTTCTTCAGGCCTTAAGGAGTTAACACTGAGTGCAAACCCGGGTGTCACAGCCAAAGGCTGGGGGCGCCTGGCCATTGCAGTGGCTCACAGCTCCCAGTTGCGAGTGTTGAACCTGGACTACAACCCTCTGGGTGAGCTGGGGAGGGCAGGCATGCGGGAGAACCACTAGAGGATGGGGCTGGGGTGGGTTTGCCACTGCTGAATGTGCCCGTCTCACAGCTTCAGACCAGGGACCACCCTAGCACTGGCAGGGCAGGGCAGTGAGGGGAGGAATCCACTCCCTATGGCCCTTCAGTCCTCTCTGCTTGGAACAGTGGGTCCTAGTTATGGTGATATTGTGTGATGAGGACACGTGTCCTTCTAAGAAATGCACTGAGGCCCACTAACCATGTTTCACAGGGACTTGTCAGCTGCAGGAACCATCCTGGGCTCTGTCCCTACCCCTGGCCATGTGGGGTTTTTTGTGTCATCCCTTAGCTCCAGTGTTGCCCGCCCACGGCTCCCCCCATTCCCAGTCCCTCAAGGCTTCAGTCATTGGCCTGGCAAAGGAAGGTGCCCGCACCCTGCTCTCCTTCCCCAGAGAATAGCAAGGAGAAGAGATTGGCAGTGGTTGCTATAGAAACTGAGTCTTCTCCAGCTCAGGCTGCAGGGTAGGCAGCTGGCAAAGCAAAGTCCAGGCCAGGCAAGACCAAATTTGGGGTAGCAGAATCTGGGCTGCAGCTTTGGATGCACCATGGCCCCCAAAAGTCCCTGACCTGGGAATTTTGTCTTGAATTCGGAGAAAAAATTCAGTTCCATATCATCCAATCTTCTGCTCACAGTGCCCCTGCAGCATCAGGCAGCATCCTGCCACATCTGTGGATAGGCAGAGCTAAGTAGCCCAGTGTTTCTCAACCCACAGGTCGCAACCCAAAAGTGGGTCGCAGGAATATATGAAAGGGTTATGAATAAACTTTAAAAATGGATCAACAAATTTAAAAAATGGATTCTCCTTTAAAGGATAAAATGTGGGAAACCGTGGCTTTTCTCTTGCAGGCTGACACAACTCAGCCTGCAAGGAGTTGCTTGGGGTCCCTCTGTTCCACAGACCCACCCAGTGCTCCACACAATGGGGACCTGGGGGCAGGAGGGAGTGGGGCAGGAGTGAGGGGCACTGGGTCAGGACTGCCCATCGAGTTTACAGATGGGTTCTGGTACAAGAAAGGTTGAGAACCACTGAACTAGCTTACCAACATCACCATATAAAGGCAGCTCTGCTTACTGGAAATGGAAATGGTGCAAACTGCTTCTGTAGAGCTGCCTTTGTTTGACAGTGTTGGTAGGCTAGTTAGCTCTGCTTCTCCACAGATGTGGCAGGAAGCTGCCTGGTGCTGCATGGATGCTGTGAAAAGACTGGATGATATAGAACAGATTTTTTCCAAATTCAGGACAAGTCCCAGGGTAGGAATGTCTGGGAGACTCTGGCACACAGCCTCAAACTTCAGAAGTGTCCTGGAAAATTCAGGACAATTAGTCACTTCAGGGGCTGCAAGTCATGCAGGTTTTTTTTGCCCTATACTGCCTAGGATGCCAGGCCAGGCCTACTTTTTCTGCTCTGTCCTAGCAAGCTGGGTGCTGTCTGTTTTTGTGGCGAGAGCCTCTGGCATAGGACTTGATGGAGCCCTTCTTTTAACAAAAGTCAGGCAAAATCCCATCACTGGTACAGGCACCAGCAATTTGCTATGGCCAGCCCTGCTGCATCTCTGGGGATTTTTCAGGAAAAATGCTTTGGTATTCATCCTCTCTATTTCCAACCCTGCTGGAAAAGAAGCAAGCCCATGTTAAGGGCTGGGAACAAGGATTCCTGTGTTTTATGCCTGGCTCTGGGAAGAAATGGTCTAATGGTAAGAGCAGAACCCTGGGAGCCAGGAGTCCTGGGTTCTTGTTCTGACTGGTACATGCTTCCTTCTCATTCGTAAGCCAGCTACATTCCCATAGGGGAAACTCAAGCACAGAGGTAGGAGGCTCTCAGACCCTTGGTGAGGTGGCTGGAAGGCGCTATGAATGAGGCAAGTTTCTTTGCAAGGGAAACTATTCCACTTTGTGTTCCTCGTCTGTCTCTCTTGGATGTGCCCAGCCGTTCCCACAGTCAGCAGTCAGTCCCTGCCTTTGTCTCTCCTTGCAACCAGCAGCCTTTCATTCCTTCTTCCCAGGGGTCCTTGGCACCTGGAGCTTGGCTGGCAGTGTTGGTAGGGGGGGTTCCCAGAAGGCATTCCCAGGGTATCTCTAGCCCAAGGGCATGTGTGGTCTGAGTTGCATGAAGCCAGGCACTGCTGAGTTCCCTGACTTCCTTCTCTTCCAGGTGACCAGGTAGCGGGGATGTTGGCTGTCGCTGTGGCTTCCAGTCGCACCCTGGAGGTCCTGGACTTGGAAGGAACAGGGCTTACCAATCAGTCAGCACAGGTGAGGAGTGCCTGGTACTGATCTAGCATCATTGCCACCTCAGGGCCATGGGCCTCCACCATCTGTAGAATCCCCAGCCCCTGCCTCAGCCTTCTCCCCCATGCCAGGGATCTCTGCACCCCTCGCCCCTCCCTTTATAGCAGCCTCTTCCGCTATGCGTGCTGATGTCCGCCTGTTCCTTCTGTCGACCCAAGGCTCTCAGACACTGGAGGTGTTGGGCTGGCCTCAGCCCAAGGTTCTTTGTTCCCCTGCTCTGGCCTCAAGCAAGTTGGATTGAGCAAGTCATTCTGGTTTCTCTGGTTCTCAGAAAAAAGTGAGGGGGGGAAGATTCAGGAACTAGCTTTATAACTAGGGCAGCGGTTCAGCGTTTAGGTGTGTGTGTGTAGGGGCGGGGGTAGAGATTGAGGTTAGGGTTTTGTAGCTTACGGCCTGGATGAAATCCCCTGCAGTCTCTTCCCTGAGAACCTTGGCTCATGGCAGTGAAATTTGCCATTCTGGATCTCCTCTGACTTTGTTTACATGGGTCATGCCTGGAGGCGGCAGGGGAGCTTGCAGGTATGCAGGAGTAACTCCCTCTTTGGGTATAGCCCTTGTGCAGAGAGCTTGGAGCCAGCGAAGGGTGGAACTAAAATGTGCTGGCAGGAGTATGTAGACAGTAGCTCTAACCTCCTCCCCCACCAGTCTGTCTGTGCTGCTTGTCCACCTGCTTCTGGTTTTTGTTCTGGTCAGACCCTGCTGGACATGGTGGAGAATTACCCAACAGCCCTGCGCACACTCATTCTGGCAGAGAACAACATCAGCCCCGAACTGCAGCAACAGATCTCTGACCTGCTCTCCGAGGGTGAGGAAGAGGAGGAGAATGAGGCTCGGGAAGTTACAGCCAGGGAAAAGAATCCCTGGATTTGCCAGAACAGTAAGATTTCTGGGGGCCTGGGGAGGTTGGAGGGGACATGGGACAGAATGGGGCAGGGCAGGAGGGAATCGGGTCTTTATGATGTTCTCTGGGCAAGTGAGCATCTCGCTGTGGGGCTGGTACAGGGAAGGGGGCCCAGCTCTCTTTGTGGGCTGGAATTCAAACAACCTCAAGGTGGGATCTGCAAGTTAAGCAGCCATGATCATGCCATTGCTCAGATAGGGAGCCTCTAAGAACAACCCAGATGCTTCCAGATGTGGAGGTGAGCCATAGTTGGCTCTTCCTTACACCAGCGTCCCAGGACAATGCTGTGGGTGTGGAGACAGGGTAACATGGGCATGAACCTCTTTCAGTAAAGACTTTGAACTGGCACAGGCATTAAAGATCTCGTGGGCTTTTCATAACTATTGGGGTTCCCTTTGGTGTCTTGGCCAGTTTTGAAGTTCACCATTCCATTCTGCTTCACTCAGTTCGCCTGCAGGTTACATGTGTCTTCATTGCTTCCTGACTTAAGCCTCATGATGATTCACAGGTGCCATATTCTGTTGGTGCAGTGCTTGTAGGCGAAGCACAGGGATGTCACAGAGTTGCCTGTGAGCATTATATTGGTGTTTGATAGGACTCCGGCAGGGCTAACAGGGAGAAAGGCCAACAGAGGATCGATCTTAATCCTGCTGGTTTTTGTTTTAAACCAGTCTCCCAAACTGGCCAGTCCAATAGGAACAAGTCCAGCTGTTGACAATGCACCAAACAAGTCTAGACTGCGATGACAAAGCAGCACAAAGATTTGAGAGCAACACCTAGATCTGGCCAGATTTTTATCGACAACTCCCTTCCCTTCCATCCCTCCCCAATTCTAATGTGTAAACAGCACACAAGTTAACTGGTCACAGCATGTCAAAAAATCTGCACCCTGATGCATCCCAGCACACCAGTGACACAACCTCCTGCTGATACCTGGGTCCTGCTCAAACCAGCTAATTTGTAGACCCCACCCTCCAAATTCCAGTGCCCAAAGCTGGACCCCAGTGCTTCCTAGTTCAGCCGCTCTGCAAAAAATCTGTCTCCAGCATCTGAGGAGGAGAACAGTGTTTTCTGGCTGGGAGACAGCCAGATCTTCCAGTAATTCATCCCTAAAGGGGCTCTGTCACTTGGATGAGTCTGAGGAGCAGTTTTGGTGCCAGTGACAGGCTGTTCCTTGGTGTGGTGACATACTGGCCAGTGCTACCAAGAGCAGCCAGGAAGGGGCAATGCAACAGCCTCTTAGCAGCTTTCTGACATCACCTCCCTCTTTAAAACTCAACAAGGAATATAGTTGTCCACCCTCCAGCACAAAGAGAGCAAGCTTCTAGGGATCAGCTTAGACAGAGAGGTAGGTAACTCCAGCCCTAGCACAGTAGAGTGGAATCTAGCAGGAAAGGCTTCACCCACACAGCCTGTGTGGGCAGAGGCTGAAAGCAGTGGGCTTGCCCAGGTATCCCTTCAGGTTTAATTTCATAAACAGAACCCATCTCACTTGTGACGATGAGTATGAGGGGAAGAACCCAGCTTGGCGTCAGATCCTTGGAAGAGGTTTTGGGCTGGCCATTCCCTCATAACTTGAACACACTGAATTGTTCAGAGACAGTAATTCTGGATCTCCACTGTGATGCTGGTACAGGCATGTTAAGAGCTCCACTCTGCTGTGTTACACAGACAGCAGGGGCCTAGTCAGCTCCCCACCTCAAAATCCTCCCATCAGTTTCTGGCTCCTTCCACATCAGATTCAAGCATCATTTCTCCTTCCTCAATGCTGCATCTGGCAAGAGGACCCAAATTCTTCTTCAGCCCAAACGTCTCACAGTCTTGCTTCCATCTGCTTCGCAGATTCCAACTCCCAGATGGTCTTGATGACATCAGGTCTTGGCGACAGTCTATTAGCAGAGACGGAGATGTGACCTGTACTGAGCAAAGCAGCCTCCCTATATGTGTGTGGGTTGTGTGCAATGCGTGTGTGTGTGTGTGTGTGTACTTGTGTGCGCCCTGCATGCACAAGCCCACATGCATCCACCAGGCCTGCCTGCCCCAACTGCACATCCACACAATCCTCAGCCCAGCAACACCACCTTTGGACTAAAAAATTTTGGGTCCGGGTATAAGTGAACCTCGCCACAAGTCTCTTGTCACGTGCCCTGTCAGCTGCTTGTGATTGTCCAGTTGCTGCATGTTTCGATCTCGTTTCCCCTCCTGACTCTATATTCCTGGCCCACATGCTAGAGGTTGTATTTATTCAGATGTGTATATCAGATGGTCTTTCTATTGCTTGTACTAGTGTCTTGATGAGAGTTTTATAAAAGTCACAGACATGGCACAGCTTTCTGCTGCAAGAGAGTCTGTC